CTGTTTTTGCATATGTGTTTGTGTGTCACAGGTGCAGTAGTTATGTAATTTAAGATATTTAAAAAATAAATAAATTCATTTATAGCCTTAGCCTTACCTACTGTATTTTAGTACTTTTAGCTAATTATATTGTTACTCAGTAACATCACGTTCACGTTTGCTTAATGTTGTTACTTTAATGTGTATTAATGTCAGTTATATTTTAATTGTTTTCATGGTGGTTTTTATTGAAAAATGTAATAAAAAAAAACCCACTGAAAAATTACACACACACATATATGACATGAAATAAAAGTTACTTAAAAGAACATATCACATATCTTTAACTGTAAAAAGGATTTGTGAATATTTTACTGCAATTAACTGGAGTGATTTGATGGTAAATTAGATGGAAGTATAGTTACTTTTTTGTTTGTTTGTATTGGGGGGGGACTTATTGAGTTCTTTTATCAAACATTTATTACATAGTCAATGATTAGGTGATGTTTTTTTAGACATACATTTAAACCCTCAAACAAAAATGATTCTAAAAGCATGTAGCTGTCACTACTGGTTGGTATTGGACTGATGAAGCATTTATATACAAATTCATAAAGTACAAATAAATTGAAAAAAAACACAAAATAATCAAGCCAAAACCTTTTATTATTTAATTATCACTTTTAAGGACCACAGATTTGCTCTTTAAGCAACATTATTTGTAAATATAAGTACAGCCTTTTAATAAAATTGTAATATAGCTCACAACCATAATATAACCTCTACAAATAAATAATGATACTTCCCAATAAAATAAATTTACTAAAAAAGGCTGAAAAAATAAAAGATTTGAAAGAAAAAAATCCCTATACTGAACGACAGTTTTAATTTTAAATTGTAGACTGAAAATAAAAATTATTACATTTAACAATTTATAATATTGTTGCGTCATCGAGACCACGTGACTATTCTCACGCCCTCTAGTTTCTAGAACTATCCCGTACCTTGGCGAATGCTCTAGTATTTACTAGATAGGGTAGGCTGGTATATAAAAGAGGGTGACAACGTGACGGGAGAATAATGTAATGTGTGTGTGAGGTAGTGAGTAATTGATCTGCAGTCACAGGGTATTGTTGAAGTTAACGTTCGTTCATTATAGTGTTTGTTTTAGCGCGAATATTGAAATTAAGTGTATCGTAAAGTTGTATTCGGAAAGAATAAACCAGTTTTATTAAGTTAGGACTTGTGTCGCTAAAGTTTCGTCGGAACGAAGTTACGGAAAGTTAATTAACAAATGGAGACGTAACAATATTAAGTATTCCATATTATGAGCTTGATTATGAAAATTAGTTATCCCTTACTAAATTATACCATGTCCTTACTTTCTTACCTCTACAATCTTTACAGTGTTTTTCTTTGTGTGAATACGTTGTAGTATCCAGTACATTATCCCAGCAACAAGTATAAAAAACACCAGAGAGGGTCCAATTGTAACACCCAGAATCACTCGTTTATTATTTTCTTCCTTGTAACTGCTGAAATATTCAACAATCTGTTGAATAATTGTGCATATAAACTACTTGTATTGTGCAGTTTTTCTTGTTTCTACCAGGTTAGTTTAATGTATGTGACACGAAACATAATAAATTGGCCTTGTAAACATATCTAACTTGAAACTTTGTGTCACCCAAACATATTAACCTTTATAGAAACAAGAATGGCTAACAAACATAGCATATTCTTTATGATATTAATAGCACAATGCCCTGACTAGATTCTTATGGACTGGACTTAAATTTTTAATAACTTTTCTGAAAGATATTTGTTTTAACATGCATAATAAATTCAGTGTATATTCTTAGAAATTCTGATAAAGATTTCAGACAGATAGTTAGTTAAATATGTATACAATAAGTATAGCAACTGGGAAAAAAAGTTAAGTAAAAAATGCAGGGAGAAAAACCAAAAATTTGATCAACATTTCTACCAAGAAGATTGTTATCACATTTTCCATTTATTCATAATCCTTTTTTAGCATTTAACAATAATTACTATTTTTTTTATTTAATAAAAATTATAATAAATCAGATAAAATTTTAACACCCTCTAATAAACAAGAATTTGTTGAAAAAATAGTATTTTTCTGGAAAATTTGACAGCCAGTCTTAGGAAATAAAACGAACTAACTCTGATGGATCCACACTAGAACAATATGGAACTTTTTGTAGAATTCTGTATGGTTTATCAGGTGGGCATACAGCAGTGCAGTTGAACTAGAGAAAAAAGATCTATTACTTCTTGTATAAACAAAGTTGGTTAACTTTATTTCTAACTATTAAAGGTTTAAAAATTATTCTCATATTACAAACTGGATAAATTATATGTCATCAATAACTTTCTATAATCTTGCAAATGTTTTATCATAAAGTTCTTCTTTAGTTTTTAACCATCAGTAATAAAATTTTTATAGATTAGCCTACACTCATTTTAAACAACTTTGCCTTTCTATGATTTACATACAATAAAAGTCACTGTCACTGTAACAATAGTACATTAATACTAAATTTATAGCAACACTAAATTTCATAGTTTGAAAATAGTATTGAATTGCTTTTCTGTTTCATTTTTCTAAATAGCTACCTACACTTGTTTTGTTATCATTCATGTACACTCTGAAGTTTCGGCAGTCTTTACAGTCTTTAGTTGTTGGACCCATGCATTCTCGACATTCATTAGCACATTTAACACAGGTTCGACTGGCATTGTTGGCATAGTGGTCAATAGGACAGCTTGATTCACACTGTTCACCTGACATGTAATCCTTACAATTACATACTGATTTGTGGACTCCATATCCTGTGCATGTGAGACACTGAGAGTGACAAGGTCGAAACACCTTAATATGCAATAAAAAAAAGAATAACTTTTAACTTGCAAATCAATATCCATGCATAGCTTAGCACATCAAGCAAAAAATGTTGTGCTAACTATGACATTGATCTATCAAGCTAGGTTTTGATAAATATATTTTATGTCTTAGATACATGCAGACCTTCCAACAAGCCCCTCAGGAAAAGTAGGAATTTTAGTAGGGCAGAGTTTTTGAAAAGTAGGGCCTTTAGTAGGGAAAAGTAAGGATAATTTAGAGCAGGACTTTGAAATAGCATAGAAGCATTAGCCACTGTACTAGAAGAGCAAGAACTAGCAGAAAGTTTACTGCTGCTGGATTTGTTTATTACAACTAAACTTCACCTTAGCCAGTTCTTTGTGTTTATCTCCCTGTGGATATTTCAAGAGTTGCTGTTTGCCACTATTATCATAAGATATCTCCATTTGACAAATACTACAGAAACAGTCAAACTGGTCATTTGCCATTCATGACCATTATTGTCTGCACAGGTTAACCACTGGTGCTGGAATAATGTTTTTCTATGCGACATTTTATTTTTCTACATTACCTTGATATTTTATAACATGTTAAAAAGGCTTTCTCAAGCATGACTGCCATGTACACAAATTACACAACAATACAACACAAAGAACATGTATGTGTGTGTGTATGTATGTATGAAGATATGACTTACGGAGACATACACACTCTCATACATGAAAATCAAAGATGTACCTAAAGCTTATGCAAACAATAACCATAACAACAGGCACAAAAGCTGGTGCACATGATTCAGCTTGAAAACTCATAATATATTAAGTTAAAGAAGCATTTGATCATCCGTCAGTTATTCTTCACTGGGATGGAGGTTATGTTCACTCAAAGGTTACTAACGAGAAAGCAGAAAAGACAGTTTGCTCATCTTGCAAAAGAAACTGTCTGTTTCTGATGCCACCAAGAAGTTATAACTTGTATAAACAACCATATTTTGAAATGCTTTGCTGTTTGAAGTTATTAATAAAAAAAAGGTAGTTAAACTATACTATACATATGGCTATATGTGTTTTTGTGACAAGTTTTGTATCTTATGTTCAGCTAAACCAAAACTGTAGTTGAAAATTGGGAAAAAATATAAATTTTGCCTAAAAATAAGGGAAAGTAGGAAGCCTCTGTAGTGAAAATATAGAAAAGTAAGGTTTATTGGGGTGGCCTGCGAGTTAAAAATGATGATAATATACAATCTTACAAGGAATAGTAGTAAATATACCCCTAAGATATATAGTGTTTAAATAGTTAAAAGTTTTACACTTCAAAAACCAGCATCTTGACAATGATTAAGCTTTCAAATCTGACAAAACTTCACAATAAGACCTATAATTATATTTAGCCACTACTAGTTGGCATTAAATAGACTGTATAATGTTATATTTATTTTGTACCATTCAATACCTGATAACCAGAAATTATCAGTCTGGAGGAGTTATAAAATCCAAAATAATAGGTGAAAAATTATGTTGAGCTGAGAAACAAAACAGCTTTTATTGTATGATCTTTTTTATGGCATTAACTTCTTGTCTAACAAATTACTGGTATAAATAGCAGTTCACCTAAGTCTTAAGGTTTTTGTCAATAGACAAACTGATGAGCTCTGGTGTTGAGTAAAGGCCTTGTGATATGCCTGCATAACATGTTTTCTACCTGCTTTTAGTTATATGATAATTTAAAACTTTTTGTTATCCAGTTTCTATGCAGTTTTAACATAAATACATGGTCCAGAAAACCAATGAAGGTGCTCTGTTCTACTTGCTTTGTTTATTTGTTTTGTGTAGCATATAACATATATCCTGCCAGAGGGGATGTTGCAGTAACATTGTGCATCCATGTTGAAAGGGCCATCGACTGTAATATCCTTTGCTGGTCAAATGGATGATGCCTTTATGTTACAGCTAGGAAATGCTGTGAGAAAACAAGATCATGAGGTGACACTGTCAAAAGGACAAAGAAACCGAGTTTACCTATTGATTTCAAGCATATTTTCTAAGTTCAGTTCTATTAGGAGATCTTTGAGTAAAAACCTATTTTGAGGGCATTGTTTTACAATTGTATGGAGATCAATCCTGAGAGAGTGAAAGCTGTAGAACAAAGCACCATCTAATAATCCTGATGTATACTGCTTTTTCTTTCGTTTTCTTGAAAACTTGTCCAGTCTCTTTATTCAATACCTAGAGAATTCAGTTAAGTTTTCAATCACAGTTATTTCACAAATTTCCTGCTCATTCCTGCTGTTAAAGCACCTCTCCCATACTTGTAAGGGAATCAGCTTTACCTGAGAATACAACAGCCTCATAAGCAGTGGCCTACAGTGAATAGTATTGTCAAAATACTGCTATTTTTTCTTTGCTACTGAAAATCTGTACTAGTTTAGATAAGAATGGTACTTATAAGCTTTGGCATTATATTTCAGAAAACATTAGTTTTCAGATAACAGATAACTGATATAACTGATTGCAGTGGCCTAGTTACAACAAACAGTATAATTGAAATGCTAATATAATTTTTTTATTGCAAATCGATACTGAGCTAGTTAAGAATATGTTTGACCTGATGATTATCAAATAAAGACACTGTTTCTCCCTTAGAATAATATTATTTTTTAAATTTTGTATAATTAATTTCACATCTACATTTTTATTTCTAATTTACTGAATTTTTTAAAAGAATAGTAAGAAAGGATCACTCACAGGTTTCCCAACTAATTCCTTCAAATCTGTGTCTGAAGGTCCAATATATTCTGTAAAATATCCTTCTGGACAAGGTACATCACCAGACAAACATTCCTGATGTAAGACAAAACACATTATGAACAGTGATGTAGTCTTGGACAAAAAGTGTTTTGGCTATACGATATTTAAATATGGAAGATCTGCAGTGACATCTCAACAAGTAACATTTTAATTACACAATTTCTAAGTGAAATGCATATATATGAATAATTTCTTTATTCAGTGTTCATTCTACACTTTTTGTTTATGTAAAGTTAAACAACGAATAATTTCCATTTAACTAATCAGTAATTAATAATAGAGCAACAGGATGCATTTAATCTCTTACAAACAAGTGTTACCTAAATTTCTCATAATTTCTTATAGCATGGACAAAATAAGATTAAAATGGAACCAAATCTACCTTATCAAAGAAGTAAAATTATTCTAATGATCATTAATTTACACATTTTTCATATACACTGTCTTCTGGGTTTTATAATTAAATCTACAATTATACAAGCTTTTAATATAACAACTTATAACTCTACAAACCTACTTGTTTTAGCAAAACAAGTTTGTTTTCTATTTTCATACTGCAATAATTTAAATAATTTTGCAAGTATAACCATCTGAAAAACTATTTAAGTTCTAAACTGAAAGTCAATTGTATTTTTGGCAATTCAGTTTCTAATTAATATTAACATCTAATCAGAGCAAACTACCTACTTAGAGCAAAACTAAAAATTGACCTGTTAATGATTAAAATTAATTAAGTATACTTTTCTTATGTTCTTACTTATAAATATTAGAACGATAAAGATTGGAAGTAATTATAAAAATGTTTTCTAAAAAGTCATATTTAGAAGTGCATAAGCTTTTTATCAAAGCAGGTTATGTTTATTAGTTAGGAATTTCTTCATCTAAAGGAGGTTGTTTTTTCTATAACAAGCCTATACTCAGAACAATGCATTATATTTCACTAACATGGATCAAAGACATTACATTATCAGCAATGGAATTTCTATACATGCTCCTATAGTTCCTTCAAACAATCTTAAAATTTCCATAGCATCTTTAGACTCCAGATGTATAAAAGACAAAAGAATGACTTACAACCTCACTGTAGTTGTTTTCCTTCATAATTGATTTCTCACATGAGTTACATCCCCCAGGACCAAGAGTGTTATTGGGACCAGTACAGCTGTAAAGGAAAACAAACTGGATAAACTAACAGAAAATTTCATATAAGCTAATTGAAACATAAAATTCATAAAGGTGATAATAATTTGAAAACCTCAATAGGCATTTAAAACCATGAATAAGGCAAAAATGTTCAATGTATAAAAAAGTATGAAAGTAAATTTTAATATTAAGCCTAATATTGCTAATTAAAAATTGTATTTATTTATGTACACAAAAAAAAGAAAAGAAAGATAATAAAAAAAAAGAGAAAAATATAGTATGATGATAAAACTATGATGACTGGTAAAATCTAGTCTTTATTAACTCATATTACATCGTACAGATACTCATTAAATAAGCTGTCAACTTTTCAGTTTCTAAACTATGTTTAATTACCAAACTAAATTGATAATGAGGGGACACAGGAAAGTAAGGTGTTTAATGGCATACATAAAACAACACTTCCAAAGTTAATTATGTCACACAGCCCATGTTATTTCAGGCACCAGTATAAACACTATTTAGCTTATCTTACTTGTAATAATCTTCTTAAAGACAGCACTAGCTGATAATATTAGTTACTAGTTAATTTCAGGAAATGTTTTCAAAAACGTTTTAAGCTTATTCATACAAAATCGTACAAACTGCATGTTGAAACTAAAATATATAGTTAACTCACCCATCAATACAGTTCTCATGACACAACTTACACTCCTTGTTGTCACTGTATTTAGTGATAGGACATTTAGAGGTACAGTAAGGACCATCCTTAAAGTTTTTGCATATTTTACAGTTGTTCGATTCCTAAAAGAGAGAAACTTGGTTTAGAAGGGTAATAAAGAGAAATACAAGTGTATGTTTTTAGCTATCTAGGTTGAGGATGATAGATTTTCCTTCTTTTAAAACATACATTCATTGAAATTATTTTAAAATAAAGTAAACCAAAATACCTAACAGTGATTTTTACAATTACAAAAAAATAGAAAGAGTTCATAGCTGGTTAATTATGGCTGTATTTATCCTGAACACGGTTTAGAGGCTCCCTTATTCTATTGAAAGCTTTTAGATTCTTTTTTAAGTTTTGCAATAGAGTACATTTAAAAATACACAAACCATGGATTAATTTTAACACCTACTTCAAAATCACACTTTAAATCTAACATTATTTTATTCTGGGAAAACCTATGAATGAAACAATAAAAAAACACATTACATTTTAAGAAAGAAGACTATATCTTGCTTGTGTTAATGATAATAATGACATTATTAAGATGCTGATAGACTTAATTCTAGAGTTCTTTTGCATCACATTTTCAGTTACATATTTCAAAGTAACAGATTAATTAACATCTACAAGTTCACATTTATTCAACTTTTATGACAGTGTTTTCCAAAAAAATGTTACTGATTTTGTATTGCTTTGTGATGAACCTTTGGAGATCATATACTGTCAATATTTAGAAAAAAGGTGAAGAATAGCTTTTGAATGCTTTGATCTATTATAGGCAACGAACTGTTGATTTTTGATAATCAAATCATAATATTTTACTAGCTGGAACAAACCGTAGGTGTATATAAAATAACACTAACTCCATTACTGGGTTATTGGTGTCTCCACACCACAGAGCAATAATGCTTTCAAGTTCTGATCAACCTACTCTCCATGTGGACTATTATAATAGCAAAATAATTGTGTGGAGGAATATATCTTGTTAAATTGAAAATACATAGACAGTCATTACAATTTCATTTTATGTAACAACAAACCTATGCAGTATATGTGATGTTGTTACAAAGAATACAGAGCTGTTTCAAAAACAGAGCTAGATGTCATCATTGTCTACTTCTATTTACAACCTGTATTATAAAAATATTTTATCATTAACTTACAAAAACACATATTAATAATGAATGAGAAACAAAATTTTCATTTAAGAACATTCTCAATCATACTGTTGTAAATTATATTTTCTATATTTTGGTTTCGATGTTTCTTTGCTAGAGAGAGTTGCTAATCATGATGATGATGTTGCAATACCTGGAATTTCTTGAATGTTAAGGATTAAGAAGCTTTATGAAATATCTAGAAACAAGAATACATTATATATGAATAAATGAGTAATAAGAAGTCAATTAGTATTTTAGTTCAATATTATCACATCTATCCTGCTGTTCAGTTACTTTGTGGGTTACTTTTTTCTTTATCGACAAAAGGTAAATAAGTTAGGCATAATTACCATCAACAAGGAATTTCTGTTGAAACATTGTTTATGTACATAGACATACAACTTGTTTGAAAGTAAACAGAGCCTGTAACAAACATTATAGAAGAAATTAATAAATTTATCTTTATTGGAACTGCACTTCACATCATTTTCACCATTTAATTCAAAATAATCCACCCAACAATAGAACATGTCACAACATCTATTATTCGTCTATATTGTACAATTCTTCCTATCATTATTTAATGAATTAATTAATTTAGTATCAAAATGCAACTCACTGGACCACTGCATCCCCTTAAGCACTCACTGTGACAGTGCTTACATGTGTTATTTCCAGCATCATATGAACTGAAAATGAAATATTCAGAAATTTATTATATTTAATTTTTAATAATAAAGTAGACATATTTTGAGTAGAACTGCATTTAATAAAAACACAAAATTTGAACAGCATTTTCAAGTAGGAGACCTATTTAAAATGAACACCTTTATAATCAAGCTGCATTAAAATTTATTATCTTGTTTTCAACACCTAAGCTACAAATATTGTCACTCATCAAGTCACTGAACTAAAAAACAGTGTTTCAACTCATATATTGAACTAAAAAATATGAAAACATTTAAAATCATTGTAAGAGAAAAGACAAAAAAGTCAAGCATGATTCACCTTGTCTTATATCTATCACATCAAAGCAATCTAAAAGAATACTTAATGTATCTGTGTAAGAAAAAAACAAACAAAAATGGTCAATATTTCATAAAAAATAACATTTACTCTGGAGCACTTGAAAGATTTTTTTTTCCCATAAAAGGTGTACTGCACGGTAAGCCAGTTTTTCTTTTTTGGTTTAGTTCTTTCTAGTTCATGTCTGTTTACTTTACAGTTATTATATTTAGCAATATTATTGTTTAATATTCATTTTGTTGTATAAATTCTAGGCTTCTAGACTTGAGAAACATACATGTACAATACTGCACAATAACTATATGAACATCCTTACCAAATGTTTAGTTACTGTTAAGTATGTCTTCATGTTTTAGAAAGTAAACTCCAAATTCAAAAACATTCCTGCAGCATGAGTTGTCATATTTTATGATCATTCCTCTTACCTTTAATACTTTTGGAATTTATGTTTTAATCTCACCTAAGTTTAAATCTGTCTTAGTCAAAACATAATTTTGCATTACACTTTAAAAGATGGTAAACTTCATCTTTGCCCTAAAATGTATTGAATTTCCCGAGAATAACATACTTCTCTACCACACTGCAGTTCTCCATGCAAATATCTCCTAGCTTGTAGGCTCGACAAGATACACATTCATCTGGACGAGGTCCCCAACACTCTTCATTTTTACACTGGTTATGACATACTAATCCTCTGTCTTCTGTGGATAAAGAAAGGAAATGACATATTAAATTCCCACATGGTTCAAACTGTACAATAATATAAAATCAATATTTTTTGCAAAGAAAACTGCTAACGACATGTAACAGCATTTATGAAAAAAAAAACTGTATATTTTAACAAAATCAAACATTTCACATGAACATAGTTTACTACTTAGGGGTGAAATTCTTCATCAAGGTTTCAAGCTATTAGCTACTACTACAATGCTACTATAAGGTGTATCACAACAGGGAGTTCTTTCAAAATCACAATCTAACCACCGTTATTACTACTTGCACAGTTATATGAGAGAGATTTGAATTATAATTTAACTTAAGTTCAAATAAAACTATGTACAACTCAAATTTCTTTCACATCTTTAGGAAAATTACTGTTTGTGCTAAAACAATTTTCATATTCAAAATACAAAATGTAAAAATGTAACAAGTAATGATGGTGTCTGTATTAGAAAGACACATTTGGAGCAGAAAATGAAAATAAAAAGTCATTAATGAACAATTAATTAATATTTATTTAATTTGTAAATTTACATACGTATGTAGTTGTATATACTATACTTACTACAATATTCCTTTTTAGCATTATCTCGTAGGAATGCCTTATTTGAATTATACATTATGATATTGTCCCATTTTATGGTTTCTGTTAAACAAAGTTTGTCATTCTCAAGGATCATCACATTTCCAGATGTTATTCTCTTCAGGGACTTCAAGCCTAGAGTTTCTAGTGATGTCTTGAGAACATATAATGAAACATATTGCCTACCAAAAAAAATCATATTTAAGTACATTCAACAGCCATTTATACTGTTTATAATCAGAATTAATAAAACAGAAAAATATAAAAAAGTTTCTATATATACTATGTTCTTAAAAATTCACTTATATATATATATATATAACTGCAAGCTACTCAGAATTTTGATTTCACAGCTAATAATCTTAATCTTTTACTTCCTCAAAAAACTTAAATATCTTTGATACTTTGAATTGTAAGTTTCTTTTAAGTTTACCAGCTAAATGGTTAAAACCTCTATCAAAAGGAAATAAAACTTAAAAATGGCCAGAGATCTATCTTTATTTCCTAAATAACACAAAATAATGGTAAACTCATTCCAGTATTAACAAATAATTTTGTAGTATTCCATATTTTACAAACTTTCTAACAAAGTAACATGCTTATCTTTGCTGAAATTCATGTTTTAGTGAAGAGAAGAAATTACCTAATAAATAAATAACCAGTTATTTCACTGAATACTAAAAGATAATTAATTGTGATGTTATGTTATGTGTTATCCAAATATATAAAGTACTGTTACACCTCCAGTCGTTAATTAATTTTCCGTAACTTCGTTCCGATGAAACTTTAGCAACACAAGTCCTTTCTTAAATAAAACTGGTTTATTCTTTCCGAATACAACTTTACGATACACTTAATTTCAACAACACTATAATTCACGTCTCACGAGGCCAACAATATTTTGTCCGCATACATTCAATTACTCATTACACTGTTGTCCCGTTACATTGTGACCATCTTATATTTACCAGACTACCCCTATATCTAGCAAATGCTAGGGCATTCTTGAAGGAACAGGATATTTCTAGAAAACAGGTGGCGTGATACTAGTCATGTGACCTCGCTGACGCAACAGTACTTTAGTGGTGAGTAAAGAACTATACATCTAAACCAAACAAACTACTTACATTACATCACTATATGAGACCTACTTTATTTAGTTGCTTTGCTCTTTGAAACAGATTAATGAGCCCTGAATTTGGCAAACTAGTCTGCTGCAGTCAGAGTAGTAATCAAAGAACATAATTAGGCCTCTATATCATTTATCTTCACTCAAATTGATATTTTGGTAATGAAAATAAATTAAGAAATAAAGTAGCACGATGTAAGATGTCTAGGAACAAGTTATTAATATCAGTAAAACAAGGAAAAAAGCTGTAAGTTTCTGAGTAACATATTAAGAATCTATAAAATATTTAAGTACTCATCAACATTGTGTTTTAGGTTCATATGAGGATCTGGCACTAGAAAATGTATCCATCATGAGAGACATTTTTGTATGAAAAAATTACATTAATGATAATGTCGAAAACAGGGACTGCTAAACTGATTCAGGCCTTATATAAATTGATTCATATACTTTTATATTGCTTTATGTCACTACAATAAAAGTAAAAACTTACTCAGTCGTCTGACGACCTCCTATCACTTCAAGATTACGAAAGCAGTGAAGATTTTTGAAATGTGGGTTTGAGGCTTCAATGCTGAGGTAACCTGTGATTTCTTTTAAAGTGCTGAACACTTCTAGCTGACTAGGGTGTAATGCTGGATAAACTTTACCTGATAAATCTCTGTAAGAAAAAAAAAAGATTCAAATTAAAAACTTAATTATCAAAATATTCCTAAGAAGAAATTGAAAAAGGTAAACAAAAAATATATAGTACAAGTACATAAAACATTCAGCTTTGAAACCAGTGTGAAGAACACACTTTTCTTTTCCAAAAAATATTTCTGAAAATGTTGCTTTTTATTTTGTTAAAATATGCTATAAAGTTAAACTGCCACTGCTATATTTATCAATCAGCTGGATATAAATATATTTTAAATAGCTTCTTGTCTAGCAAATGGAATTTTTATGGAAAATATGTACAATTAGCCACAATTAAGTTAATTAGGGTAGTTGTACCCATGTTTACTAACTGAATGTTATCTACTGGAATCAAGTTTATGGAAGTAGCTACTTTTTTCAGTTTCCAGAATTTAGAACAAAGACTAGTAAATGGCCTAATATCACTAATTACTTGAAATCACTCTGAACTAGAATCATCACTTATAAGAGCCACCAGAAGAAAATAGTTGTTAAAGCCCTCAGTTTCTCTATCATTCTTTTTTTTCCAGCCTATTTCAAAGAATTAAAAGAAATTTTTCTCGACACCCAGAAAATTGTTGAGAACACATGAAGTAGTTTAACTACTCACATAACCTCTTTTACTGGGTGAATGTTTCAGTGTAAATTGATAACCTGAAAGAATTATATACCTGAGAACAAAGAATCTTCATTGAGGATGACAATGCTGGTGTATGACCAAGAAATGTTACTTAACTTAGTTTAAACTTACAGTACTAGAGAAAATGGAAAACTGCATTCTTCTTTCTTTCTTTACAATAAGTCTTATGAAAGCCATGACATTGAAAATAACTATTTTACATGCTTTTAAACAAAATTAAATCTGGTGAGATCAGAAACATATGAAAACATTATGACTCTTTGACTAATAACCTCAGATCAATCCATATTCAAATTTTATTCTCTGTAAGTACTTTTGTGCACAAAATAAATAATTTTACTAGTCTAATACTTTCACAATCATTAATTTTTAGCTTAACATTTCCAAGTGAAGCACAGCTCTACATTCATATTTGATTTGTTTATAATTTGTATAATCTTCCTACACAAGCTTTTTTTTTTTGCTTTGGGAAAAATTCATTTCATGTACTTTGTGAGAAAAATGTGTTTTTCTAATGTGAGTAGAAGACTTTCATTTAATCCCATAACTGTGCTAAAATATGTTTAAAAAAATACCAAAACAAAATATTTAAGAATTCATTGCTTACTCTTCAAAGTCAGTATAATTAGTAAAAGTTGATTCCAGTATGGTAATGGATCCTTTGATGACAGTGCAGTTTCGAAATTTCTCAATATTTCCTGAATGTAATGTTTTAACACCAGTGCAAGCTATATGAAAAGAAGATTCAAGTGTATCACTATATATACATTCAAAATCACACAAATGTGACATCTCATTAGAAACCTTACATATAACATTTATTTGAAAAACTTAAATGAAGATGCTAGAATACATTATATAATAATAATAACCTTTGATCAGAGTAAGCTAGGTGTCAATAATAGAAACTATTACTAAGGCTATGGGTTCCCAATTCAATAAACTTTGTTTTATTGGTATTGTTTAAATGTTTTTATATAATAATAATAACCTTTGATCAGAGTAAGCTAGGTGTCAATAATAGAAACTATTACTAAGGCTATGGGTTCCCAATTCAATGAACTTTGTTTTATTGGTATTGTTTAAATGTTTTTATATAATAATAATAACCTTTGATCAGAGTAAGCTCGGTTTCAATAATAGAAACTATTACTAAAACTGTGGGTTCCCAATTCAATAAACTTTGTTTTATTGGTTTTTTATACGTTTTTCTCACTGCAGTTACCCTATTATATCACAGGAGTTCAGGTGATATTATCATGTACAACACTTTGTGTAAAAAAAAAAGATGTTTGGTTTAGACTGGTTTTTAAAAGTAGTGATCCTCATCACCAATCAAGGCCAAAAACCAAAAAGATGGGGATCAGGCTCTATCTACACAGAAGGAGTTTGATGGATTTTCTGCCTGTTTTCTTCACTAATACCAAACAGTGAGATTCTCTCACCTTGACACAGAATAAAATCCCACTTGACACTAAAAAAGTGACTTTTACATTGTACAAGTTAGAAACATTTCAGATACAGCTTACTTTCATTTTCACAAAAAAGTTACTTGGTAGACAAATATAAAATATTTATCTAAAGGCAATTATATGGTTTACAAAGTTCAATGAAAAACGTTATATAGTGGTAAGATCTCATTGAACGTCTTATTAACCCAAACTAAACCACATTTCTCACTTATATAGTGGTAAGATCTCACTGAACATCTTATTAACCCAAACTAAAACACACTTCTCACTTATATAGTGGTAAGATCTCATTGAACGTCTTATTAACCCAAACTAAACCACACTTCTCACTTATATAGTGGTAAGATCTCATTGAACATCTTATTAACCCAAACTAAACCACACTTCTCACTTACATAGTGGTAAGATCTCATTGAATGTCTTATTAACACAAACTAAACCACACTTCTCACTTATATAGTGGTAAGATCTCATTGAACATCTTATTAACCCAAACTAAACCACACTTCTCACTTATATAGTGGTAAGATCTCATTGAACATCTTATTAACCCAAACTAAACCACACTTCTCACTTATATAGTGGTAAGATCTCATTGAATGTCTTATTAACACAAACTAAACCACATTTCTCACTTATATAGTGGTAAGATCTCATTGAATGTCTTATTAACCCAAACTAAACCACACTTCTCACTTATATAGTGGTAAGATCTCATTGAATGTATTATTGACCCAAACTAAACCACACTTCTCACTTATATAGTGGTAAGATCTCATTGAATGTCTTATTAACCCAATTTAAACCACACTTCTCACTTATATAGTGGTAAGATCTCATTGAATGTCTTATTAACCCAAACTAAACCACATTTTTCATTGTTCATCTGTGTCAACTAGCTGAAAATTTCAATGTTGAGAGTATTTTTGGAAAACAATCCAAATCTTTATAAGCATCTACTTTGCTGATGCACCAGAAATACTGTTATACATAAAACTTGGATACCCACGATATCTCAGATTTAGTCTTATATACAACATTACAAATAGATCTAGAATGTTGTATATCTGCTTCTATTGTAGAAGTGCATTTCTATCATTTATCCTTAAAAGCTTTTCATAAAAACCTTACATTTTGGACAGGGGCCATCACATGGTACACATTCTCCTTTCACAGTTTTTTTGTTGGGTGGACATGACCGGACACAGGCCCCATTGTCCTTCAGAAGGTGTTCTGGGTAAAATACATAGAAAAAAAAAGATAATATTTAATGTTATAAAAACTAAAAATCACATTTTTTGATGAAGTAAAATGAGATTCTAACTGGGTATTTGCTTAAATAATTTTATATTATACTATAACTCACAGTTGCCACACTAGCCAGGAACTACCATAGCTACAGCTTTACTGAATGTCTTAAACATCATACCCTGGTCATTAATTTTTTATTCTACGGTATGAATACTTTATGTTTAAAACAATTAAATTCTTTGCCCTGTAGACTGTGAAGGTATATTGTGTTAGTTGGTAACATAAGTTTGTTAGATATACAAGACTGTTTAGTGTAAGAGTTATTATTTAGTTCATTTACTGACCTAATATTTGATGATTATTTAGTTTTTAAAACAGGTGTTAAAAGTTGATTATTTTAAAAATGATAGTTATGACAAATTTCATTATGTAACTTGGTAAGAGTAGTACATTGTGTATGTGATTTAACTGTTGTATTAGGTTTTAACAATATTGTTGACATCATCTTACTTGAAACTTCCAAATGTTTCTAGCTATGTGTAATATTGTTGCTACTAGAGGGCTAGATATTTCTAGATTTTTCTGTTGTGTGTTATGAATATGTGCAGATAGAGAGAGGAAGTTAAGAAAAGACATGAGAGAAATAATTAGACAGATCTAGATTGAGTGGTTGGCAGTTTAGTCATGATGGGTGATTCCTAAAGAAGTTAAGTGAAGATAGAAAAAGTTAGTTAGTGAAAGAAAATGTAAATTAAAGTGAGTTTCACAGTTTGACAGAGATAAGGAGAATAATTTTTCTTGTCAAAGGGCATTCTAAAGTAACTGAACCCACCGGAGTGGACTTTGATGAAAAGGAGACAATTATTTAAAGTTCTGGATACAACTGTGGTTACCCACTGGGTAACATAAGTGAATTTATCACAGACTGTATAATAAGAAATAGAGTAGGGAAAAATAATTCATCTTGTCAATTGGATTCTAAAGTAATTGAATCATACTGTGTGGACTTTTGACAAAAAAGAGAAATGTTTAGAATTTTAGATACAATGGTGATAACCAATAGTGTAATGAGTTTTTGCACGTACATTTGACTTGTTTTGGATATATTATTTCAAAACAAATGGATTGTGTGCTATCCGTTTATTGTTGACATTTATTGCCAACAAGTCACAAACATCTACTGTAGAAGAATCCCAGCCCACATATATAAAATGTTGACAGAGTTCGAAGCCAATACAATTGACTATAGAAACTGAATTAAACACAGAGTTTGTGGATAAACTTCTTTTTAGTTTCTTTCATTATTGACAACTTTTTGACTTAATAATACAGATATATTTACCTTTATAAATATTAATAAATACCAAATATACATTACATTTCTCAAATTTGTTTCTGAAGTATTTTACTTACAGCAAAGATTTGTGATGGTTCCACAAATTATTCCAAGTTTTTAAAAGAAATTCATGGACTAAAGAAAATAAAATATTTTTACAAATAGATAAAATGACCGTTACTTCTAGAGAATCTTAAAAGTTCTTTTATTTACTCAATGTTTTGCTTTATTCCTTCATGAGGAGCATAAAATTGTCAGTGATATCAAACAAATCACAGTTGCCACACTAATTGGGAACTCCTAAAGTGATAAAAATGTAAAGCTGGAACATTGAGAAAATAAAACAACCTGTAAAATTACCTAGAGTTCACAGTCATTTTATTTATTTATTTGTAATCATGTGTGCTATGCTCCAGTCAGCATTACATAAATTTAAAAAGGAGAGTAGTCTGAGTGAATGGTTGTTGATCTCAGAGTTCACATTGTATTTTTTTTATCTGGTTTGTTTGATGTTAAAGTTATATAATAGAGAACTTTCCTTTTGTAAAATATGTTCTTTAAATTTTTCTGCAAACTGAAATACAAAATAAAGAGCTCCGAGTTACCTGGACAGTTTTTAACACAAGTAGCACCATAAGCATATTTGCCCTTTGGGTTATTTTCCCAGGAATATGTTGATGGGTTGTACCTTTTCATTGGAGGACATTCCTGCTTACATACATTATCATCATGAAAATTGCGACAAGCCTGTAAATGAACCATATTTTTGTTTTAAAAAATCCCCAAATTATAGGAAAATTGAGTTAAAAAGATCACAGAAAGAGATCTATATAGGTTTGCAAATTAAATTTCCTAACCATTTACTTAGAATAAGGTTATCACACTACCATAATATAAAAACAGTCAGCATACTTGCAAGTATAACAAAGTTAGTTTTTTAATCTATCACATAATTTTAATTCCAATATTAATCAAGTGTGTCAACTCTACATGTGAAATTAGTAATGGAAAAAAAAAAAAAGTGCTGCAAAGCACAGATTTAAAAACAAACAAAAAGAACCTTAATGAGATGGATATTATTCTTCAAACAAAAACAGTCTTCCTGAACTCATAGAAATGATTAATGAACACTTTATAAAAGTATCATAGACCCTTTAATCAGATGTTTTCTATGATAAAACAAACAAAATCCTCTTAGGTAATATTATTCACATTAGTAAGAACAACCAAAGAATAAACAACAAACGACACAATATTTTCTCATATAAGGCTGATAATATTTTATGTATTGGTTGTAAATGTATATAATGGTGACAAAAATACTTGGATCTGAATATAAGTTAAACTAGTGGCTACACAATAAAACACCTTTATATTGATTTTAAAATGAAAAGTTTTATTAATGCAATATCACAATATATTTAGCATGACTGACTTGTTTATAAAAGGGGTCAAGTACGAGTAATATGCATATTTTCAGTATGCATAGATGACTATACCCACAGTAACTGAAGGGAATGCAAATCTTCTTTTATATCTGTGACTTGGTTTAAATTTAAGATTTTTATAAAGTAAATGAATAGTCTATTTTTTTGCTTACTAAGCAGTCACTCTGCTTTGGTCCAGTGCACCCTCCAGCACAAAAGAGATGGCAACATTCACGAGGATTGGGACCATAACATCTTCCTTTATAACACTGTGGTGAACAATTAATCTTGGAAAACTTTTGGCAGTTTTTAGCTCCTTGTCCCCAACATCCACCTGTACAAGACTCATGACAAGATGGACCTAAAAAAATATGATTAGAGATTAATGTTGTTATTATTACTTACATTATAACACATTCATTGATTCAAAAGAAAATAATGAAACACTTAGCAATAAAAGTAAACTAAGAGTAGTAAGTACCAAGAAATAAATTTCCCATGATAAACTTTTATAATCCAGGAAAAATACAAGACCTTAAGAAGATGTATTTGTCATTTTGCAGTTATTATTTAGAATTCTTAATTCTTAAACCTAAAAACATAAATGTAATATTTTTTCCAACTAAGGGTGTTTCATCACTCATATATTTACCAAAGTAAGAAGAAGAGTTTAAATACAACACTGTTTCATTTTTTGGGAACTGAAATATTTTCAAAATAATATAAACTAATAATAATTTAACAATATCCATATTATTCCTATATTACTTGTAGTTCTCTACATGTGCTGTTTTAGTTAGAGCATAAGCTGTTACCATCACAACATTTCATAATAAATTTCTGTTACCAGTACACAAAGAACTTTCTTAAATCAATTATACTTACACTCCTTATCTGATGGTTTTGTGGTATACTTGAAAATTGCTTTTGAGCCTTGTCCAGTTAAAATCTCATTCCAGTTTATTGTGTGAATAAAACATATCTCATAGCTGTGTAAGAAGCCCACATTTCCAGTTAAAATGTCTAAACGAATGTAAAAGAATGTTATAATAAGATTTATTTCAGCTGATTACAGTCAAAAAACAAATCATTTGACTGTAAACAACAAACAAGTTTACAATTAAACCAAACCTTACCTATTTAATAATAAATCTCTAGAAAAAGTTAAGATGAATATACGAGTTATTTATAGATATACTTAATTGAAAACTATTAATGCCTTTCTATTCATTACAAATTAAGTTACATTTCACTGGTACTAATGACATGGAGATATTTGGTTCAAATCGAGTTAGAGCAAATATTCTCATAGCATTCCACTAAAATAGCCAGTTACTTGTCATCTATCCTGAGTTTATGTTTTGACAGGAAGTAATTTCTTTTATCAAGAATGCAAGCTTTTCTGGTTTATTACAGTAGAAGTCACTACACAGCGATTTTTTTTGTCAGAGATATAAAATGTGTTTAGCAATTGAAAAAATGTTATCATCATCGACATGTTTTTCTTCATTTTGACACTTTGAAAAGCATTGTAAGAAAACCTTCAATTATACTAATTAATATATGCAAAGCTAAATGTTTTAAATAGACCTGATAATCAAAATATTTTCAATAATAACTTATACTTATAATAAAAAATAAAACTCAAATTTATGTTGTTAGAAAACAAGCATGACTATAAAAAGTATAAGTTATAACATTAATTGAATCAATACCTCGGAGTGATGGAAGTTCTAATGATTCTATAGAACTGTAACCAACAAATAATGCGAAAGGCTTCTTCTTGAACAAACCATTCAGCAGCAACAAGTTACGACCACGAATGATCATCAGATTGGGTAGTTCCATTTTCTTTAGTTTCATGTGCGATAGCAGGACATAGCCTGTGACTTCTCGAATGTCATGGAGGAAACTCAGATCACTTTTTTCCTGCACAAGTATGTTCAAAATACATAAATAAAAACTTCTTTTACAGATTATTAATGAATTGGTAGTAAATCTTTAAATAACATCCTTAACATTTGTTAAGCACAAAGCCATACAATGGGCTATCTGTTCTGTGCCCACCACTGGTATCGAAACCCGGTTTTAGTGTCATAAGCCATCAGTCTTGCCACTGAGGGGCAAGAGGAAAATAATTGACTGATACGATTGTACTAAAACCTTAAAACATATTTCCAAAAATACTCAATAGATGGCAATTACTAATACGGTGATCGGGAAAATGTAAATAACAGATGATTTTATCTATTTCCTCACTTCAGGTATTTATCAATATTAAGTTACAAAACATCGTCAAGTGTCAAGAAGGCGAACACAGTATTACTGAAAGTCTGGCTAATGAGGTGAATGTTTATGCCATGTCACTTTGCTCTCCAAGAAATTGTTTAAATTTTATTAGCATGTTATTTAAGTTGTCAATAACCAGGGTATTGATACTAATCTATTAGATTTTTCCGTTATCGGGATGAATAAATAAAATCACCTAAATTTTAAACATATTTTCATTCAATAAAGTTTTATATAAATGTATTTTGGACACTGTCTTTATTCAAACAAATGAACGAAATAAAGTAGGTATTTCTACAAAGAAAAAGTATACTGGACAATGTCTGTGTGTTTTGTTATGTGGAATCAAACTCCTGATTTTAGCGTTGTAAATCCAAAGACTTACCGCTGTCCCACCGGGGAACATATTAAACAAGAACGAGTGAAAAACTCTTAAATGCAATCAGCTAAAATCCCCATTTACTTGTATAGTTAGAGACGGAAGGTTACCACGAAATAATATGACGTAAAATTATATTTTATCAATTCAAAAACTTATACAAACTTATAAGAATTGTTCCGGAATAAAACATCAGTAAGGACCTTAAACTTGTAATTGTCATCACACGCTTTGAGAGAATATCTTTGTACATTATCTGCTGTATTGTTTTAGTATATTCCCGCCTACTGCGACGAGGCGAAGTTCGAGAAACACCGGTCTATATTTCCGTCATATACAATTTATGGTACCAGAATACACGTATTTTAAAAACGTAATTTTTTATTTACTTTTCGTCAGTGATAAAATTACAGAGGATGCGCCGTTATATTCTTATTACAAATACGGAAACACACAAAAACGAACCTACAGATTTGGGGTACTTGTCAAATAATGTCATTAATTTTCATCAACTTAAACGTCAGCCGTAATTAGACTTTCGTGCTACGTAAGATTACTTGGCGAAATTGATTAAAAGGACCACCTGCAGTGTTTTACGTTAATATAATTGTTTATGAAATTTATATAATAATTCTAGCATCTTTTGTTTGAGTAGTCATTCGAAAGTGTATGTTTTGTAACTCTTGAAAATACGTCAAAAAGCGCTGTACTTCAGAGCTATCGATGACCAACACCACCTGTCAACGTTATGCTTCCGAGTTTAATTGGCCAAACACAGTACATTTACGACGTTTTCTACATCGTTGTCAAAGGAATGGGAAAATATGGGTTAATGACTAGAGTGAAATAAAATGGTCAAATAATGTTCTCGCAAACGTTTTCTAAAGTTATTTACCTTATGGTGGAAGATCACTTGTAATTGTTAAGACGTTTTACTGTGTAAAGACATTTTTAACAGTATGTTATGCGCAGCTACAAATTCTTACATTTAATAGTTGAAAATTATGCTGTAATTTTTTTGCAGTATGAGGCTTTTAATGAGAAGACACATTTTATTTGCAGAAATCGGGATAAAATTGAGCCATTTGGAAGTGATTAAATAAGAGAAATATCTCCAATTAGAGTTATCTTCAAAGTCCAATTCAGTGAAGACTTCTCGTAACTTCACGTGAAATTCGTTACTGTCATTAAAGTTATGGCTGGTAATTAGACTTGCCTGACTTTTTTTATGTTTGTTTGTTTTTAATTATGCACAAAGCTACACAAGGGCTATCTGTGCTCTGCCCACCACGGGTATCGAAACCCGGTTTCTAGCGTTGTAAGTCCGCAGACATACTGCTGTGCCACTGGGGGGGGGCGACTTTTTTTATGAAACATAAATATATATATCAATGTGTTGTCATAAATGACGGAATATAAGTGAGAAAAAAAGAAGCAAAAAGCAGCCTATCTATCTATCTATAAAACCTAACTCATCGTATAGGGCTATAGGCAAAGCAACGCGCTTCCATAAAAAAAAAAAAGGTTGTTTAGGCAGAGTATTCATAATG